AAGAGGTTGCATAAGGAGCGAGGCTTCTGGGATCCATGCTCGGCAATAGGAAATGAGGCCCAGGAAGGCGTGTAGTGACTTCGAGGTCCTTGGAGGTGGAATGTCCAGTACTGCTCTAACTCGGTCACGGGTAAGATGTCTGGTTCCCTGAGACAGACAATGGCCAAGGAAGATAACAGTAGATTGGCAGAATTGCAGCTTGAGACGTGAAGCTTTACATCCTTGTTCTGCTAGGTAGCAAAGAAGATTAATTGAGCATTGTTCTGTTGTGGGTAGATCATCTCCACAGTAAAATGGGAAGGGAACAAAGAACTGTAGTGTCTTTTCGTGACAAAGGTGTATTTAATTGAACCTGGCCGTCTGCAGTGAGGGTGATGGATGCTTGGAGGCGGGATAGGACATCAGCACCAACACAAGAGACATCGGTGTCAGGCAGGAACGATGAGTCAGGCAGGTCTTGTTCTCTAAGAACACTGCGGGCTGCACCTGTGTTAACCAGGAAAGTAGTAGGGTGACCTTCAATAGGCAAATTAACAGTGGCTAGTGGCCCCCCTTGTTCCCTGTAGACACTGCCATGGCAGGGGCATTAAGCATCAGCGGGTTTGCTCTCCTCTGTATGGGCTGTGTTACTGACTCAAACCCCTTTCTATGTCATTAGCCATAGCTTTTTGCAGTCTGAACATGTCTATCATTATAAATAATGGTTAATAGTAAGTGAAGTAAAGTTCCTATATGTCTTTGGATAAAACATTAACTATTGCGGTACTATCATTTATATCAATTAGACTATAACAATTATACCACCCTGTAACTAAAATGAATAACCAGTAGTGGCTGGGTTAATAAAACATGTCACAAACCCTTCTAATGCTAAACCATCATTTAACGTAAAGGATGTTACTGTAAACATACGATCTGTAACTAGCAAGATTCGATTAAGTAAAGATACAATGTTTAAAATAACTTGCATTATTTAGCTATTTCCCTTGTTGTAAGATGAAGCTGGATAATCAGCTGTTATGCTCTTATATTCGTGTCCAACAGATCTCATTTGTAGGTCACACCACAGTTGCAAATTACATTTTAGCAACCTTCTTTTTTTTTTTTATCACGGACAAATTTCTGATACAGGGAAACAAATGGCATGATTGTTTTAGTAATTATAATGTTTCAGTTCATAAAATGTAGAGTGTAAGGAAAACAACATGTCTCTAAATGGGACGAGCATAATAGGGGTAGGCCTCATGATGGAGGCAGCCATGACAGGGGTGGGGAAGGAAATGACAGCAAGGGAGGAAGTGAGAGGGGTGACGTCCATGATATGTGTGGGAAAGGAAGACAGGAGGTGTGGGCATGGTAAGGGCGGAAGTGACGTCACTTTAAAAGCAACCGTGACTGTAGATAGGTCACGGGACTGGCAGGGTCAACCTCCTTCTGTACTAGGCGCCATCTTTAGGGTGGTGGCTGATGCACTTCCAACAATACACTATATTATAACTATTAAAATAAGTCAGAGAAGCAACATTCCGTTCTGCAAAATGAAATACTAAACTATGAACAGACCTGGCAGGTTAAATAAGACAGTTGAGAACATTATGCATTTAACAGCCCATAAAGCTGTCCATAGAAAAATGTACTTTAACATGATAAACTCACGGAATTCAACCAATTTCCCTTATCATCCTCTAGCCATTAATCACTTTCCTCCTCTTATACTGACTTAACAACATCGCATATTCCCTCTATCAGTGTTAACAGGCTACACCTTCCTAAATCCCGTATTCAACACTGAATGCAATCTTGTGAGCTCGTCACTCCCACAATCCTCAGTACCTTATCACAAACATAATTTATAAATATATAGCACTACGGAATCTGTTGACGCCATGCAAATGGCAACAATAATAATATTATTACACAATTATAGCTCCATAACCTGCCTGACAACGTCTGTGTATGGAACAATGTACACAATACTACACAATTAGAATATTTTCCAGCAAAAATCCCGTCTCTAACTCTTATCAGTAGAAATCCCGTCTCAAGCGGGTAGAAATGCAGGCAAGGGGGAGGAAGTTAGACAGTGCAAAAAAGGGAAAGTTAGACAGTGCAAAAAAGGGAGAGACTGCAGGCATGAAGATTAACCATATGAGTGCTGTAAAGTAACAAGACAGAAGGACAGAGACTTATACGTTTGGAAACCAGAAATCTTTGACGGGAGAAACGGACTGGAGGTGCAGGGAGCTGCAGAGAGAGGATGAGGGTGACGAGATCTGTAGGACTGATGGGGGGGGGAGAATAGGGATCCATCAGCATCCAGTAACACAATTATTATAATACACAAACAAACTTAAACCTTTGTGATCAATATCTTCCTCAACCTATCCCTTTTGCTGAATAGCTCTTGCTACTCGGTATCAGGCTTCTACTGTACAAACCAAATCTTGGTCCGACAGCTTCCCTTTCTTCTCTGTCAGTAACTTACGCCAGCTCTCTGGCTACAATCTGCCGCACAGAGGTACGGTAATTCCACATACTTTAGCAATCTTCCTCACTTTCTTAACCATCTCTTCTCCTTCTCTGTCTTCCACTAGATCACATGCTAACCAACCCTTACTGGGTTTATCTAACTTCTGTCCCATCCTCCCTATATAAGGCGTCCCAGATATAGAGAGAGAAAGGAACAGAACGTCTACCGTGCTCGACTGCTACTTTAAGAGCAAGCTCTTTAAGTACGTCTTCCCAAAACGTAGACTAGTCACTGATTCCGCCTACCCGTGGTAGCCGCGGATTGGAGCGTGGCGAGAAGTGTGTGACCAATCACTTCTCTCAACAGAGAAAGAGAACTAGGAGGGGAAAGTGTAAGTAGTACAGTGAGTAAGATAAAAGTAAACACAGGAATCTGTGTGACAGACAATTAAGACAATAACATTTCAGTGTAAATACAGTGCATGCATCACAGTTCAAATAAGTTCAACAGTTTTATCCCTTGCCTTTACTCGTGTGGCCAAAAGCCACCTCCCTCAACCTCGTAGTGTCCCTGTTGCGGACCCACCCGCAAGTCTCACTACCAGCAGCCACAGGAAACAGCAACAGCTTCCAACCCGAATCCTGTATAGCCTAAAGAATTGGAATCTTACCTGCCTCAGCGCTCGAGGCTGGAATTTTACCAAGAAGCTAAGCGGTCAAAATGACACTCTGGGGAACCCCCAGGAAGCAATGAGTCTACATCATCCTCCACAGATTCCCCCTACTCCTTTTCCTTACAGCCACAGCCACGTGGCTCCTAAAAGAGTTAAACAGGCAATAGAGGACCCCCAGGAAAACTTCCACGGGTCCACCCCCCTTTTTCCTTACTACCACAGGCACGTGGTACCTAAAAGGAGTTAAACAGGCACTTACACTCCCCGGGTAGACTAAGTTAAACACATACCAATACAAACACACCCAGGCAACAGATAGTCAACATGCAGGTAAATTAAGTATCATTAACAATACAAAGACTCTGGGCAAGTTATTACCTGACTTTGATGTCCTCTCGGCAGCAGTCACAGACACTGGGACAGGTCAATCACAGGGGTAGGAACATACCGGCTAGGTGCTGCAGCAATCTCTACCGTGTACTCAGAGGTGATCAGGCTCTTTTCCTTCCCCCAGGATTCATCCCCCCAGCATCTTCTTGGACAGCTGCCCAGGCAGGACATAGCCCAGAGCCCCACGTTGGAAGCGCCAATTGTAGTAGATAATTTACTGCAAACCAATTAGTTTGAATGACTATCTGTTCCTGTCCAAATTAAAGATAATAAAGTTGCGTGCACGCAGAAGTAAATTCACACTGAGACACAAAGTTCAGGGTAATGAAAGAACTTCAGAGAAGTTTAATGGCTTCTGACAGAAAATGGGTGTGCAGACCCTTTTAAAGGCATTATTACATCATTGAAGAAAATCAAGATATAGACAAATAGACATTGTTAATTGGCTTAGGTGCTAAGATGTTAGTAAAATGCCCTCCCTATGGGGTGTACCATCTTAAGTCACTATCTACGTCATGCTTTTCTCCCCCAGGTTTTAGCGCCATTTTGCTAACATGAGGAGCTCACTCGACGGGAGGGGCCTTTTGGCAGCTATCCATTTAGAGCGTAACTGGCACTTGTTAGTTTCTCAAGGCTAGGTTTCAAGGCTTTTAGTAAATACACATTTTATCAAAGCTATTTCTTGCTGACATGCAAATTCTATGTTCTATAGACAAAGCTTTCTTGTAAAACTATGGGGTCCTCTTAGAGGTATAGCAAGAGGATTTAAAGGGGCCTTACAGATTTATAGAGGCCTAATAATTCTACAACAGTATCACGGAATGGGAGGTAATTAACAAGTAGCTGGTAACACATGGAGATGGGTTTACAAGATTGCAGTAATACCCCTCTGATGCACGTTTGTTCCCAGAGTGTGATTTTCACCTCTCCCGAGGCTGTTACGGAGTCTGCGGGTACGTGTTTGTGGAGGAACAATCTTAATTGCATATGTGAAAATTGGGAGGTCTGGGGTAAACTGTGTGTATAACTGAGGTCAGGGAAATCTAATAGTTCTCCCTTGTGAAGGATGTGATGGAGATGGATCAATTCCTTGTCTAGCCATGGTCTGGGAGGGTTGAGAACTGGGAGATTAGAACCCTAATAGGCTCTATCCAAGAGAGCCTAGTCGCATCAAGGGCGTCTTGGTCGCAAACGGCGGGGGCATGCCGATGAGCTCAGGTTGCGAGGACAGCTCATCTGTAGCACTTAGGGCTTAACCTTTTTTTTATGTATTTATTTATTTATTATTTATTTTTTTTACATGTTTTCCTCTTTGTTTTTGTTTTTTTAACAAGAACCTCTAATGATCCCTACATCTCAGGGGAGTAAGCGAGTAAGCGAGGCTGAGAAGGGTAGTGCTCGAGTGGGCCATGTATGCTCAATGGGGGGCCCAACAGGTATGCGGTGGAGGAGCTGTCCCTGTCACAGTCATGCAGGAGTCCACTCTGGGGCCATCCTAGGGATCTTTGCAGAGTTTCCTTCAGCAGCATCAGCTATCGCGAGACCCCAGGCTTGGAACTTGACTTTGCCAGTTTCCAGTGAATTCACACCATGCAGAGCATCTCTGTAATGTATCAGAAGCTTTGCTGGATAACCCCACTGATACATGATGCCTTTTGTATGGAGTGTAGACGTGAGGGGGGTCATGCTCTTTCGGAACCGGAGAGTTGCCGCAGAGAGATCCGCAAAGATTTTAAGATCCTGGTAAGGCTCTGGTAATCCGGGTGAGCGGGAAGCTCTGATCAACTTCTTTTTCACGTGGAAGAAATGTACCCGCACTATTACATCCCTGACGGCAGTGTCGGGTATATGTTTTGGCCTTCGAAGCCTATGTGCCCGGTCAATAAGGAGCTGGTCCGGATGGATCTCCGGTGTCAAAGCCTGAAAAGGGTTGAGGAGGTAAGCATTGAGAGCTGGATTCAGAACTGTTTCCGGGATACCTCGGATCCTCAAATTGTTTTGTCTCGCCCTGTCTTCTATGTCAGCTATTTTTAGGGCATGGTCATATAGGATAGTATCTATTTCCTGGAGCTTATCCGCTAGGCTATTATGTGCCTCTGCGAATTCGTCCATCTTTTTCTCTACAGTAGCTGTGCGTTGGCCTACCTCTAGTAGCTGAATCTTATGGAATCTTATGGATACCCACTGTAAGAGTGTGGATCTGGGCAGCCATTGTTTGTTGGATGTTCTCTGTGAACTCCACCATTTTACCTTTCATGCTTGCTGTGGTAAGAGGGCCATTGTCTGGCCCTAACTCTAAGGGGCTGGGAGACGAAGCCGACTCTGCTTCAAAGCGTGGGTCACCGCCATCTTTAATCGGGCTGTGGCCGTCAGGCAGTGTGGATGTTGTCGTCCTGGCGAGGAAGAAGGAGGCCCGCTCAGCCTTTGCCACTTTGTTTTTTTGTCTCTGGGACATCTTGGAGGAGAGGTGAGTTGCTATATTCTGTTTTACGCTCTGTAGACCGGTTAATATCAACCCTTTAGCACCCGAAGCTCAGGAGCTTCCCTGACTTGCGTCCATTCAGCCTGGGTGTCAGGCCACGCCCCTGTCTGAAATTTTTAAAATTATTTTCCTCAAAAATTTAAGCTGTCCGCTGTTAGGGAAACATTTGCCAAAGTGTAAGACACATTATTAAGCATACTCTTGCAAATCATGTACCTACCCTAGTCTGTGCGGCAAGCCACATCCCTGTGAAAAAATATGGAGACGCCTCTAGACTTTGATTTGAACGTGGAATGAGACTGAAGTGGATAGTTTTTTGCTAGAGTAGATGGAATCTTACCACTTTTAAAATGTGTCTCCTGAAGAAATAGAACATCAGACTTATGAGTCTTCATCTCCCCGAGCAATAGCCTACATTTATGTGGCGTGTTAAGGCCCCTCACATTTATTGAAAAAAATGTTATCACCATATCTATTATTTATAGTTGACGATTATGAAAAAGTAAAAAAAAAGTAAAAATCTGTGAGGCCCAAATCACATCCAGCAGCATAAAAAAAAGTTGGAGTTGCATAGGGAGAGAAAAGTCCAAGTTACTCACCTGACCAGAACAGATAAAGCATCCATATGCTACAGCAGAAAGAAATACATTAAAATTATGTATGAAAGTCATATATACATATCTGGAAACATAAATGATTTGTTTCAAAATACTAATAATATTTCTTATGAAAAAATAGAAAAAATATTGAAACACTGTTTAAGAAAAAACAAGGGAAAAAAACTTGGATAAAAGAACAAAAAAGAAGATAAAACAAAAAATTAAAAAATAAAGCATATACAAAAAAAAGGCCTTGATAGGAGGAGTAAACAGTTTTTCCATCTCTAAATAAATTTACAGGCCTATGTTGGGGGGAGGGGTGGGAAGGGGGAGCAGACCAGGAACACTGGGAGTTAGACAAAAATAATATTAAAAGCAAAAATATTTCAAACACCAAAGGAGATAAAAAAATAAGAAAATAAAAAAGATATACCATTATAGTTATAAAATAAAAAAATAACAAAAGGAAAGAAAAAGGTCCAGAGCTATAATGTAAGTAAGACAAATGCATTAGTCCATTTCAGAAACTAACATGTCAATCAATTAGTTCAACAGATTCTTCAAACATAGCAATAGCCAGGAACACAAAACAGGAAATGGCATTCACAACTTTGTAGAGAAAATCAGTCAATTAAATATCAGGATCCAAAAGACAGGCATCAAAATCTGAAGAAATTCTTAATTCAATGCCACAGGGTGAGGATAGAAAACAAAATAAAACCTGGAACCAGGAATAAAAAACAAACAAACAACAATGAAAAACCCATCAAGCCATTAGTCCAAGCTGAACATCAGGAACTGAAGAACAGGATTTCAAGATTAATGTACAGCCACCCATCTGTATTTCCTTGGCTGATGAGGCGTTGGCATTTCTTTTTTTTCCTTTTAATATGTCTTTGTTTAGATTTATAATAAGAAAAAAAAACAAACATATGCATTGAATCAAACTATTACACTTACATGTCTATTGTATCGCAAATATAGCCTAGAACTTTCTTACCCGTGCATACTCCGCAGTATTACCACGGTGTATTATAAAAGATTAATAACAATGCATAAAGTACTACAAATACTAGCAACAAATATACAATGTGCACAGAATATGCACTAACGAAAACAATCATGCGTGCGTAACGTAAAGAGCGGGCTATCTTTGATATTCACTTCTTATATTTAAAGAAAGAAAGAGACGGTAGGGAATGGATATCAGATTGGATATTTTAAAATCCACCTTTTCCACACCTAGTAATATTTTCCATAATTAAGTTGTGCAGAGTAATATCCCCTTTCCATTTGGGCTTGGTGTTTCATCTGATTAAAGGACCACTATAGTGCCAGGAAAACATATTCTCTGAAACTGCTATGTTTATTAAAAAATGGGTTAACCCTAGCTGGACCTGGCACCCAGACCACTTCATTAAGCTGAAGTGGTCTGGGTGTCTAGAGTGGCCCTTTAATTACATTATCAATCTTTATTATATCATTTTGAGACCAATTTCTAGCTATGTCAATCTTTACTGCTAGAAGTCCCTGTAAAAATAAAGAGTTATCATTTCTTGATTACATTTCTAATTCCATATGGACTAAGGCCCTTTGAATCGTAGGTGGTATTATAATATTGATTACGCTAGAAAGAAATACAAATATCAATCCATACCTGTTTAACCTTACTAAAGCTCCACCATATATGTTGGTAGGTACCTACTGCCTCATTGCATCTCCAACATATTGGATTCACGTCAGCACTAAATTTAGCCATTTGCGCCGGAACCAGGTACCATCGCATCATAATCTTATAATGTAATTCAACCATATTTAAACGATGAGTACTTTTATTAACTCTGACTCAGCTATCGATCCATTCTTCTAGTTCCCTTTGCAATTGAATGTTTCATCCATGTCCTCTAATATTCTCTACCATGTTGTCATCTCTTTTTTCACAAATGCATTATTCAAAATATTTAGAATGTTATGAGCCATTTTATTTCTATTGCTATTATATATATATGAAACTTTAAATAATGCCACAATCTAAGTTAGTTAAAATATTCTGACTTTTTAAGTGCATATTCATTAAAAATCTGTATTGGGGTTTTAATTTTATAGGGTGTAAGATTCAACCATTTGTCAAGTTTTAGATGAGGAATATTGTTCTTAAAAATTTCCAAAGGGGCCTATCTGATTTTTAAATACTATCCAAAATTCAATACAATTCTTAGTCACCATTGACTTTTATTTAAAACATTACATTTTTTAGGATGGAGCCATAATACACATTCTAAATTAGTCATCCCTGCAAATTCTTGTTCTATATAATACCAATTTGTATCTTTATTTTGTTTACATTGAAGCTTAGATGTGTGACATAGCATGCTCGTCTCTGCATACCATTCAAAGCATGGCATATTTAGACCTCCTTTTCTACGACTGGAGCAAAGGATTTTTTTTTAAACTCTAGGTTTCTTATCATCCCATACAAATCCATTAACCTTAATGTGAAATGCCTTAATCCAGCATAGAGGCGACTTCAATGGGCTCATTATGAGTAAATACAGCCATTTTGGAATTATATCTGATCACGATCACATTTAACCTTCCCATCCATTTAACCTTCCCATTCCACTCACACAATTGTCTATTCATTTCATCAAAAAGGGTTGAATAAGTAACTTCAACTATTTTTTGTATATTCCTTGGGATCTTAATCCCCAAAAAGGTGACCTCATCCATTCCCTACTGAAAATCAAGAAGTCAGAAGTCAGAGATTTCTCAGGATCATAAAGAGATAGCAAGATATCATCAGCATACATACTAAGTTTGCTTTCCATGTCCCCTATCTTAATACCTTTAATATGTAGATTATGTCTTATCCTAGCAGCAAGGGGACAACGCTGCTGTATTCCATTATGTATACTAAACCATTCTGATCTCAAATCCTGTCCAATTGGGTTGGTATATAGGGCCCTGACAGAGCCAGTAAAGACCTCTCCAAATTCAAAAGTTCAAATTCTGAGTACTTCTTCAAAAAAGGTCCAACTGACTCTGTCAAAGGCCTTTTTGGCATCTAAGGAGATAAATATAAATGGTATTTTATCATAGCATACATATTCTATTAGACTAACGATTTTCCTGGTGTTATCATTTGACTGTCTCTCTCTAACAAATTGCGCCTGTTCCTGTTGTATTAATATTGGACAAATATTTTTTTAGACGTGCCACTAAAATGGCAGAGTATATTTTCGTATCTGTATTAATCAGTGATATAGGTCTATAATTAGATAGTTTTATAGAATCCTTTTTTACCTTTAGTATAGGTAGGATAAAAGCTTGAAGAATTTCAGTTGGAAAGGATCTGAAATCTCTGACTTCATTAAAAGCATTTGTCAAATATGGGGATAGAGTGTCAACCAGTTTTTTTTTTTAATAAAACTCTGCATGGAACCCATCAGGGCCTAGTGCTTCATGTAGTTTCAATGCTCCAATTGTCTTAATAACTTCTAGATTATCTATAGGAGCTTCTAAGCAGTTAACCTGTTCTCTAGACAGTTTTTTTAAATTTAGATTCTTCTAAATATTTTTTTAATTTGTTTCCTATTTTTTAATTGATGATTATTAATTTATAATAGAATTTTTGAAACACTGGACTATTGTAATGTTTATCCTTGTCAATTATTTTAAATATTCTGTTCTTCAAATTAATTTTTTTTAGTTGATTAGTCATCTTATCTGCTCTATTGCCTAAATAATAGAACTTTTGTTTCATTTTCATTAAATTTTTATTAGCTTTTATAATTAATTGTTTTCTTAATTGTACTCATCTCTATTATGTCTTGTACTTCTGTTATGCTATTACTCTTTTTTTAAATTACTTAAATAAATTTTTTAAAGTTAAATAAAAATCTGAAAGTTTTTTTGTATATTTTTTCTTATAAAATGCTTCTTTCTTAATTAAATAGCATCTTAATACGCATTTATACGTGGTCCATACATTGGCAAGACTAACATATCCGGTTAAAAGTTCCTCAAAAAATGTTTAGTAGTAGTTATAATTTTATCAACCGGCTTCTATCCAACTTCGCTACTCACTACCCGGCTTCCGATCACAAGACCGGCACGTCCACATAAGCATAACGTGGGAAATAGTGTTCAGCTATTTCACAAATTCGGGCCTAAAAACACGGGGATAGGCTCCCTTTATTATACTTACCCGTTCATGCACTTTCTCTGTTCGTGTACTTCTGAGTTGGTTCGGCTAACAGCCGACCGCAGAGTACACACACCTTCGTTTGTCTTTCGTTTAAACTAACTACCAACCACACTAAACTTACTAACGTCCGTCTGTTCAATCATACATTTGTACAGCCGAACGCATAT